TATAACCACAAGTACAGGGTAGAGGGTTTAGGGTTTAGGGGGTTCATGTTTGCTGTATAACCCCAGTTATGAATCTACTTATCACCTGCTCAGGGGACTTCGGGGGCTCAGGAGTGCAGTTTTGGGGTTATAAGTACCCATGAACCTCCAAGTAAGGATACGCCGGATACGCTTTAAACCGCCCAGCTTCAGCTCAAAAGTACATCTAGTCCTACTCAGAATCTGCATGGGTAGTTCTCTAGAGTAGGGGTCCTTTTTAGGATCCTCACATGACTTGAGACGTTCCCCCTTATTCTAACAGTCCCTCATGAGGACTTTTGTAGGGGGGGGTACTAGAATCGCTATTGCGGACGGTTAGTATAAGGGGGAACAGCCCAACACATGACAAAAAGTTCCCTAGAGCCCTGATCCAGACATCCCAAACCCTGCTTCCCAAGCGAGGCTCAAGCCTATGGTTTGGTCTTGAGAGATGCGGCTGAAGGATTTCTGTGTAGTACGGGCTGGCCGGTTCGGGGTTTAGGGTTTAGGGTTTAGGGTTTAGGGTTTAGGGTTTAGGGTTTAGGGTTTAGGGTCTAGGGTCTAGGGTCTAGGGTCTAGGGTTTAGGGCTTAGGGCTTAGGGCTGAAAGGTTTAGGGTTTCGAGATGCTTACAGCTCCTTCTAGTCAGACAAGACGCGTCATGTCGCAACTCCAAAGCAGGGCCCAAGGAAAGATTGCCTTCACACCCCACCTGGAAGCAGAAACAGAGGAACCCTAAACCCTAAAGCCTAAACCCTAAAGCCTAAACCCTAAACCCGAAACCCTAAACCCTAAACCCTAAACCCTAAACCTCCAAAATCCAAAGAACCCTGAGGGCTTAGGAAGGTTTGACGAGTTAAAGGTTTTCGGGGCCGGTCTGAGCTCCACGCACAGCCTCCAATCGACCGCCATTCACCTGGAACCTGATCGGGGGTTTAGGGTTCTTAGGGGTTTAGGAATTGGGGTTTGGGGTTGAGGGTTTAGGGTGGTTTAGGGTACGTAGTTTAGGGTTTTCGAGTTTAGGGTTCAGAGTTTTTAGGGGTTTGGGGCTGCAATAAGTGTTTAGGGGTTACATAAGGTTGTTAAGGTTTTTACAGGCTTTAAGGGTTTTTCTTGTCTTGTCTTGTCTTGTCTTGTTTTGTCTTGCCTTCTCTTCTCTTGTCTTGTCTTGTCTTGTCTTGAGCGGCTCGTAGAGTCTGCAATTAGACGCAGCCCTGGATTCAAGCGGTGATCGATGCCCTGCATGCACTAGCTCGGCCGAGCAGAAATCAAGGGCTGCTATTTCCTTTGTGCTCGCAGCACAAACTACTATTTGCTTTAAACAACAAAACTCAAGATAATCATCCCTCTCCTACCCTTATAAGGAAGAGTCTTGTTTCTAATTTGCTGGCGGGTTTTTTGCAGCAATGAGTAGAGGTAATCCAGTAGGTGAAGGATCGACCTCCTGTTCTTGGCTGAGTTCGCTGTCCTGTGAATCCTCGCTGTAGGGGGTTGAGGCATTTAGGGTTTTAGGGGCTTGCGGTTGTAGTTAAGGGTTTACAGGGCTTAGGGCTTCAGTAGGGCTTAAGGCTCAGTGCTTCGGGCGTTGTGCTTAGGGTTTAGGGTTTAGGGCTTCGGTTTCGTATGGTTGCTGCAAGTCCCTTTCCGAGGATCCTTCTGTGCCACCTCGGGCAAACATGTCGAAGACGCGGTCTGGCTCGCTTTCCACAGTCCATCAGGGTTCAAGGTTCAGGGTTTAGGGTTGAGGGTTTGTGATTTAGGGTTTAGAGTGATCTACATCGACAACGAGTTGGGTCGGGCTCTCCAGAACAACCCAGCCCGCGAAACCCAACATACCAAGGCCTACCATGACAGTATTTTGCGGCAGCTGAATTTGGTTTCGGAAATTGCGGCGCATCTGATCAACCCGTAACCCAAATCCCTGTTCGAGCTCAAGGATTATAGTAGTTGGGAGGGAGGCAGGGGGGGGGGGTAACTCCTACGTTGAAAAAAAGGCCTGTTTTCGTTCCCCAACGCGGGTCACCGAAAACACCCCTAAACATGCTATGATCCCTACCCTGAACCCTGAACGATATAACCCTGAACCCTATAACCCTAAACCCGGAACCCTATAACCCTAAACCCTAAACTCTAAGCTCGTCATGTAAGTTCCTTAACTAGAACCACTGCTCCCTCCCCAACCCCCAACCCCCAACCCCCAACCCCCAAACCCCCAAACCCTAAACCCTAAACCCTAAACCCTAAACCCCCAACCCCCAGCAGCCCAGGGCGCGGCTTTCCGCGGCCGCCGCGGCGGAGCGCAAGGTTGGGAAAAAGACCTGAGGGTTTAGGGTTTAGGGTTTAGGGTTTAGGGTTTAGGGTTTAGGGTTTAGGGTTTAGGGTTTAGGGTTGGGGGTTTAAGGTTCAGGGTTTAGGGTTTGGGGTTTAGGGAGGCAACTTCAATAACGCATGGACACATGCTACACCCTGTACGCGACAGCACCCCACCTCCCCCCCCCCCAAAAAAAAAAAAAGAGAAGAAACACACACACACACACACACACACAGGCATACTAAGCTAGCTGACGAGGCCTTGCAGCCCAGACCCTAAAAAGCTTAAACAAAATAGGGCTTGGGGTGTCTAGGGTTCTGATTTGAGAGAAGGATCCCCCAACCCTAAGAACCGCAAGGCCACCTCTCGGCCTAAACCCTAAACCCTAAACCCTAAATCCTAAACCGTAAACCCTAAACCCTAAACCCTAAACCCTGAGCCCTAAATCTAAACCTTGGACCCTAAACCCTAAACCCTAAATGGAAAACTGGGCGTGCGAACCAGCGCAGACGGCTGCCAGAAGTAGGTGAGCATCGTCACCGTTACCTCGCGGAAGGGACTGCAGATGCCAGTTAGGGTTTAGGGCTTAGGGCTTAGGGCTTAGGGCTTAGGGCTTAGGGCTTCGGGCTTAGGGTTTAGGGTGTAGGAGGGTGATGGTCTCTCATATATCAACTCAATACATATCTCCATCGTAATGTTGAATCAGTGTATTTTCATGGTCAAAGGTGTTGGGCGCTGCTACTATGCGGCACTGATGTTTAGGGCTTCGGCGGGTTGAAAGGCCAGGACGTGTACGATGGGGCCCATTAGCTCCATCAGATGGATCATGACCAGTTGAGACGTTGCTTCTTGCATGCGACTGAGACATCACAAAGATTATCTGGGGTTGGTTTGAACAAGATTTATCGCCCTAAACCTTAAACCCTAAACCCTGAACCCCAAACCCTAAACCCTAAGCGGCCCTCACCGCTGTATACATAGCCCTATAACACCCATAGGAATATGGCGTCTACACAGCTCCCAAACCACCTTAGATAAAGGGATGGTGTGGGATTCGAAAACCTTTGTATGCCTAAACCCTAAACCCTAAACCCTTAACCTTAAACCCTAAGCCCTAGACCCCAAACCCTAAACCCTAAACCCTAAACCCTAAATAACCCTAGACCCCAAACCCAAACCCTAAACCCCATTAGGCCTTCAACCCTCAACCCTAAACCCCACAGCTGGTGTCACCTCCTTTTTCCAGTACTCACCCAACATTCTGACTCAGCCCGCATTAGCAGATGGGAACCTTGAAATCTTCCCTCTGGAGCCTTCAAAGCCGAAACGCTCAGCCCTGAACCCTGTGAATCTGAGGCCCTAACCCCCGACAAATGCTGAACCCTGAACCCTGAACCCTGAACCCTAAACCCTCAACCCTCAACCCTGAACCCTACACCCTACACCCTACACCCTAAACCCTAAACCTTAAACGCTAAACCCTAAACCTAGCCCCTAAACCCAAAAATTGCCCTAAAACCCGAGCCCTCTGAAGCGTTGGGACTCCGGACGGTCAGCGCCCTCACTCCACAACGTGCAGCCTCAACAACGGCTTTGCAGCCCTCATCCCTGCTTCAGGTTTAGGGTTTAGGGTTTAGGGTTTAGGGTTTAGGGTTTAGGGTTTAGGGTTTAGGGTTTAGGGTTTAGGGTTTAGGGTTTAGGGTTTAGGGTTTAGGGTTTAGGGTTTAGGGTTTAGGGCTTCGGGTTTAGGGGTTATGGGTTTTTTGGTTGAGGATTTCAGGTATTCGGAGTGAGTGTTTATTCATTTCTCAAGGGGCTTAGTACGTGTGTACTTCAAGGCTCAGGAAACTTAGTATGTCAGGGCTCCGGGTGCTACGTATGACATTTAGTGCAATTAGCGGCTAAGAAGTCGATGGAAGCATATCGCGCTTATAAACATTAGTCGTTGCATCACAGAACCAGGTACTTCTATAGAGCTGATCCTAAACTCCAACCTAGCCTTTGTTGCACCCTAAACCCTCAACATTTTCAAACCCTACAAACCCCAAACCTCAAACCCTAAACCCTATATAATGTAAAGCCCAAACCCGAAACCCTAAACCGAAAACCCTGGACCCTAAAGCTCGGCACCCCAACCCTTTGATCCTACACCCCTCCCCAAAATGCTGAAGGATCGTGAATGCTGTGCAGAAACAAACTCCACGCCCCGCGAAGCTTTTTCAGCAGGTGGTGCGAAAACTCTGAAGCCGCGCTCCGTGACAAGCTTTCTAGTTCTTACTCGGGAATCAGGGAATTCGGTGCTCCACGTAGTCCCTGACATGGTTGCAGGGGGGATAGAAGTGATACAAGGTACCTAGACTAGTTCCCAACTCCCTGATTCCCCACTAAGAACGAGTAAGCGACAAGAGATCACCCTCCGATCTCAAGAGCGTTGTCAACTGGCATGGCATCGGCTGGTGGATGCACGTTCCGATGGCTGTCCGCTACTATAGGGGTCGGCATAGTTACTAATAGTATTCCCTTATGGTCCCAATATAGTTATGCTATACTAACTCCCAAAAACCCCATGCTAATTTATGGTGCCTATATAGCTATACTATAATAACCCCGCAAACCGTATTCTACTTTTTGAGGCCCCTATATTGCTTAGCTAGATTCTGGGCTGGACGTCGTCAGATCCAAGACTCAAATTCCCGGAGCATTTCCTGAACAGCCTGCTCGTGCTCATCTGCTGGAGCGATGGGCCGCTTCACGCACGTCGCCTTTCCACACTTCATGTCCTCGGTGTCCTTCTCCTATACTGCGGAGACTGCGGCTTAGGGTTTAGGGTTTAGGGTTTAGGGTATAGGGTTTAGGGTTTAGGGTTCAGGGTTTAGGGTTCCCTGAACCCTAAGTCTCCTGCTCTTTCAGCAACTGCGCCACGAGCTGGCGGAAGCTCTCCCTCTTGTCAGGGGCCAGCTTGTCGTAGCCAAGGATGTGCTCCCCCGTCTTCGGATCCTGGAGGTTTCCGAAATTTGGGGGCACCCTTTTGGGATCCTTGTTTAATCTGGGAATCCTACTATTTGGGCGTGTATATTATTTGGGGCCCGTATTTTCGTAAACTCCCAGATGCTCACTTACGAAGTTACGCACCCTAAACCCTAAACCCTAAACTCCTCAATGTTCGTCAACCCCCCTCCTTGTCCGGCTGAGAGAGCTCGATCAACTTGGCCAGCTTGTCGTCGTCCAGCTGGTCGATCATCCTCTGCAGCTCCCTCTTCGCCTCCTTCTCCTTCTGGTTCCCGTCCTGGTTCCCGTCCTTGGTAGGTTTAGGGTTTAGGGTTAGGGTTTAATTTAAACTTCTACTCTTTGTTGAGTTTAAGTACCCTTACACATGTAAAATGTTACCCCTCTTCGCCTCCTTCTCCTTCTGGTTCCCGTCCTTGGTAGTCCAGGGATAGATTCAATAAAGTGCTGTTGATTACTTCATAAGGGGCCCTCCCTAGGCCCTAAATTCTATAAACCCTATGAACCTGCAAACCCTAACAAACCCTAACCAACCCTAACAAACCCTATAGACCCTGTAAATAATATTAGGGGAACCTAGAACCAAAACAAAACTTACGGTTGGTTACCAGGGAATGAGGGAATTAGGGCCCCAAATATACCCTTTCAGGGATGACATAGGGCGCTATATAGATACCTTTAAGGGATTATACAGGGTACCCTATAGATGCCCTTTCAGGGATCCTATAGCCCTAGATATACCCTTTAAGGGATGATATAGGGTACCTCAGTCCCCCATTCCCTACTAACCAAGAATAGGAAAATGGGGCAAAAGAGCATCGCTGGGCTACCAAGCATCAGGATCCTGACTGGGTCCAGTCAGGTCCCTCTCAGGTGTCGAGCTCCTGCGCTAAAAGACTTTCGACCCTAAACCCTAAACCCTAAACCCTAAACCCTAAACCCTAAACCCTGAACCCTAGACCCTAGACCCTAGACCCTAGACCCTAGACCCTAGACCCTAGACCCTAGACCCTAGACCCTAAACCCCTAAAATCCTGCTCGTGGGCGTCAACGAACGTGGCGTGCCGGCATCAGAGTCAGGGCTGGCGGCTCTGACCTCGGTTGACGTCTCTTTAACCTGGAAGGGGTTTAGGGTTTAGGGTTTAGGGTTTAGGGTTTAGAAAACATCCGTAAATCAAATCCTCTTAAGCCCTATAAGGGAAAAATGTAAAAACACACTAAACCCTAAACCCTAAACCCTAAACCCTAAACCCTAAACCCTAAACCCTAAACCCTAAACCCTAAACCCTAAACCCTAAACCCTAAACCCTAAACCCTAAACCCTAAACCCTAAACCCTAAACCCTAAACCCTAAACCCTAAACCCTAAACCCGAACATCATCCCAGTGACTCTCTTCGGGTGGGGCACGCTCACCACCTCCTGCGCGGCATCCTTCGCCTCGTTCGCTCGCTTTTTCGGGGTGGCCTCCGATATCTTGGCCTCCACAACCTGGGGTTTAGGGTTTAGGGTTTAGGGTTTAGGGTTTGGGGTTTAGGGTTTAGAAAACATCCGTAAATCAAATCCTCTTAAGCCCTATAAGGGAAAAATGTAAAAACACACTAAACCCTAAACCCTAAACCCTAAACCCTAAACCCTAAACCCTAAACCCTAAACCCTAAACCCCCCTAAACCCTAAACCCTAAACCCTAAACCCTAAACCCTAAACCCTAAACCCTAAACCCTAAACCCTAAACCCTAAACCCGAACATCATCCCAGTGACTCTCTTCGGGTGGGGCATGCTCACCACCTCCTGCGCGGCATCCTTCGCCTCGTTCGCTCGCTTTTTCGGGGTGGCCTCCGATATCTTGGCCTCCACAACCTGGGGTTTAGGGTTTAGGGTTTAGGGTTTGGGGTTTAGGGTTTAGGGTTCGTTAAATGCCGGGTTATATACGAACTAGGGCCCATAGAACTTCAAATTCCATTCCAAAATCAGCCCGAGAAACAGGTTGGGCTGAGGCTTCATCCGCACAAGGCTCCAGCTCGACGTCTGTGAGTCCCAGTCCGCTGAGATACCTTGCTAGCCCAGCAACCATATGATATCAAGGGCACCCTTTTTGAGGGAGCTGGCTAGTTCTATAAGGGAGCCCATAACCAAACAAAAAAAAGAGGGTAAAGGGTACCACTGGCCTACCAAGATACTGCTGAAGGGCCTGGAGCTCGGACGCAGTCAGGCGCAGCTCGCCCACGCCAGAGCCCGCCAGATGGAAGTCTTCGATTTGAAAGCAGGGCTTGCCGCCTCGCGGCATCGATTTTGAGGCCAGGCACGGGGCAAAGGAGGCGATGTGAAACAACTTTTGGGTGCATGGGAAGGAATTTGAGCCAGAGGCGTGCACGGTACGGATGAGATTTGGTAGTCTTGATATCCTGCTGGCTTTCGGATGATTCAAGCTCTGGCGGGGTCAGGGGTTTAGGGTTTAGGGTTTCGGGTTTAGGGTTTGGGGTTTAGGATTTAGGGCTTGGGGTTTAGGATTGAGGGTTTAGGCTTTAGGGCAAGAATCTTAAGAGGCCCCCTGTGCGCGTAACAGGCAAGCCAAGGGCCAGTCAGCATTTGCCACTGTCTATAGTTCAATATAAACTGAACAGATCATGTATATATATATGTATATATGTATATATGTACATGTACACATCTATATATATATATATGTGTAGATTTATATCTGTATATATCAGCACGATGAACATTGTGAACAATTTCCCTAAAGCCCGGCCGCACCTCGCAGTTCGGCGCGGAGCTTGGCCGATGTCCTAGCAGGATGAACTTTGAGCGCTTCGGAGGGTTTGCCTGGGTTTAGGGTTTAGGGTTTAGGGTTTAGGGTTTACAGGAATTTCTAGTGGGTTTCTAGGGTCGAAAGCATTTGTAGGGTGTATAGGGCGTTGATGGGGTTTACAAAGTTTGACAGGGTATCTGGGTAGCCTATGAAATAGACCCTTACCTCAAGCGTAACCTGTGCACGCTCTAAGAACAAAGAAATTTACCTTCGGAGTAGCCTGCACACCATTGCACAAAGAAAAACGTGTACCTTCATTGTCAAATTTAAAGGGGTTCATGTACCTGTTCCTCCAGGAAGGCTTTCCCTTTGCGCCCATTCGCTCTGGATCTTCAAAGTAACAGGGCCCAGGCATCTTAAGTAGGTGAACATGCGGTTCTCACCAGCTTCGTGTCTGTTTGGCTACTAACCCTAATTCCTAAACTAAGGTTTTGGTCTAGGGTCCAAGTTGGGTTTAGGAGAGGGCAGAAGGCAATGTTCTGGCGATGGGCCGTCCCATATTCTGGAAAACATCGTAACTATGTGGGGGGTGTCATTGTGCACAAGGTTTTGGGGGTTCGTCCGGCCCAAACCCCCAACCGAAATCCGAAACCCTGAGCCCCAAACCCTAAACAACATATAAACCCTTCACCCCAAACCCTAAATTCGATATAAACCCTAAACCACACCCGACCCTTCGTCTCATTCTGGTTGGGTATAGGTTGAGGGTTGAGGGTTTAGGGTCAGGGCTCCTAAATCTAGCTTGGTGGCAACGAAATCTCAGCCGATTTCCGGAAGCTGGCTTCCCTACCACCCCCCCTCCATGCTACCCCACCCCCTAGGTTCCCCCTTACACAATCTTAGTTAAGCTTAAATATCCCTAAATTATGGGGGGAGGGGAACTAAGGGGGGTGGGGGGGTGCGGGGGGGGTGGGGGTAGGATAGAGGGGGGTCGGGGAACCCATGAAGATTCGAGCACCCGGCTGGCGAGACGTCTGCATCTGACGGAAAGAGAGGCAGTTGGCCTGCTTGGGCTTGCGGCTTAAGAGGCCCCGAGCCCTACACCTGTTTTGGGTTTAGGGTTTAGGGTTTAGGGTTTAGGGTTTAGGGTTTAGGGTTTAGGGTCAATCTGGGCTCGGTATTTCAGGTGTGCGTTTGGTGTTGACTGAACCCTAAACCCTAAACCCTAAAACCCGGCCTCTAGGTTTAGGGTTTATAGAGTCTTCAGCGGGAGTTGCAGGGTTTGGGGTCTGTGGTTTGAGGTTGCTTCTCCTGGTGGGTTTCGGGATCGGTTTGGGGGGGTTTTGGGTTCTAGGTCCGCGGGACTTGTGTCGGGGTTTTGGGCTTAAGCCGTGGCGGTCAAACAGAGCCGAAAAACACATCCCGTAACCTCAGAGATAGTTCGCAAAAGATCAGAAGTGCCTTGAAGGATTCTTGCGGCCAGGTATACCACATCCTTGTATACTGCATCCCTTTATGGTGCAGGGGAGTTTGCTCGGGCTCTTAAGAGAATGCCTTCTGAATCATTGATTGGGAAACTGCTCGCTTGGACTGGATGGCATCAAGAACCAACAATGCAGATCCTAATCCTTAAACTCCCTGTCGTACCAAACTCGAATCTCAAAGACACCAACACACCCTAAACCCTCAAACCCCTAAACCCCGAAACCCCTAAACCCTAAACCCTAAACCCCAAGCCCTGAGCTCTGACAAAGACCTGGTACACTAATACTGAACCCGACAGCTTGAAGGTTAACTGATCTTTGAGAAGAGACTGGCAAGGCAAGGTGGCAAGGCGGGGGAGGGCGGCGGGGGGGGGGGGGTGTAGGGGTTTAGAGTTTAGGGTTTAGGATTCAGGCTCCAACCTAGGCCGCAAACCCTATACCCCAAAAGCGGGGAAGGCCGGAATCAGTCGAAGCTATGAAAAGATGGGCTAACAAAGAAGCTTCACCCTTCAGCCCAGAACCCTTACCCTAAACCCTAAACCCTAAACCCTAAACCCTAAACCCTAAACCCTAAACCCTAAACCCTAAACCCTAAACCCTAAACCCTAAACCCTATAGGGATTCTTTTTAGGGTCCCAGGGCTCCGCCACGCCGGAGATGAGTCTTGCACATGGCGGCCAAACATGCGGAATGGACTGCGGGACCCTTGCGGCTGCCCGCGGGGTGAGACGCTCCCTCGCTCGAATTCTCTTGGGTTTTAGAGTTTGGGGTAATATATTAATTATGGTTTAGGGTACTTAGGGTGAGACACTCCCTCGCTCGAATTCCCTTGGGTTTTAGGGTATCCCTTTTTTGGGTGAGTTCAGGTCACCTTGTTGGCATTACCTGCCACATTGCATGACCTTGAACTTTACTTTGCCTTTAATTGGGGTTTGGGGTAATTAACTAATTAGTGTTTGGGGTACTTAAGGTTTAGGGTAATTAGGTTGCCCTAAGGCATGGAACTCCAGAACCAAACAGCTCGCTACACCCCTACGAAGTCCTAAACCCACAGTTGAGGGCTTCTGCCTTTCCTACCATCTTCTCCGGGTTTAGGGTTTAGGGTTTAGGGGTTAGTTCTTAGGTCTCCGGATCCTGGACGCCCTAGACAGAGACGCGATTCATCTCTGCCCGTTTCACCGCGCTGTCCGCAGAACGCGCTGACTGGCCAGGGGGCAGGTTCTGGGGATCTGGTGGGCTTATGGTGCTCCCGAAGTCCACTCCCAAACAGGGTTAGAGTTTCGGGTGTAAGGGTTTAAGCATTTTAATGGTTTAAGGGTTTAAGGGTTTAAGGCTTGAAGGGTTTAAGGGTTTAAGGGTTTAAGGGTTTAAGGGTTTAAGGATGTATGGGGTTGAGGGGTTAAGGGTTATAAGGGTAAAGGGTTTAGGGTTTAGGGGGCATAGTGGTGCAGCCAATGGTGTCACTCAAACCCGCGAGCTTCGAAGCCCAAGAACCAGACGCAAAGGTCCCGCGAAGCACGTTTGAATTGCCCTGAACCCCAACCCCTAAACCCTAGCTTTTGGCTCGACCTCCTTCCCTGAACCCTGAATCCTGACGCCTAAGCCCATAGACCCTAAATCCGAACTTCTACTCCACCAACCCGGGGAGAAAAGAAAAACTTTCTCCCCCCAAACCCGAATGCGTTACAAAGAAAGGGTGAAGGCCTCTGAGCCTCAATTGGCTTCAGGATGCGAGGACTTTCTGACCCTTCAAAGGGCAAACCCCCGAACCCGACACCCCCAAACAATGATTCTTAACTCAGTAACCTTGAGCCTAAACCCTAAGACTCCCTGCCTGTGTGGCTGTCGGAAAGCCTGGGCAGGAAAGGACATGGAACTGCAGTCGAGAATCTAAGGCACACTCTCTCTCTCTCTCACACACACACAAGGAGGCCCGAACACTAAACCCTAAACACTAAACAACCCTGCTAAGGGTACCTTCTCTAGGGTGGGATGAGGTTCGGGGGAGGTCGTAGCGCAACCTGCAGCTCATAATGGCTACTGAGCTTTTAGGGTTTAGGGTGCACATAAAATTGTACCTCGAACCCCACAATGCCCCAAAATGCCCCTAAGCCCCGGGACCTTGACTCGGATGTGCTTTTGAGGGTTTAGGGTTTAGGTTTACAGGGTTTACGGTTTCGGGCGAGGGTTTAGGATTAGGGCTTATAGGGTTTTGGGTTTAGGGCTTATAGGGTTTAGGGGGTTTAGGGGCTTATAGGGTATATAGGGCTTCCAGGGGGTTTAGGGCTTCGAGTGCTTAGGGGCGTTTAGGCTTTATAGGCTTTAGTGGGTTTTTTAGGGCTGATAGGGTTTAGGGGGTTTAAGGCTTCGAGGGTTTTGGGACTGACCTTAAACCCTAAACCCTAAACCTTAACTCCTAAACTGGAGAGCCTCCGCATCGAGGTCATTCAGCTGCTCGTACCTGCTCCACGCCTTGGTTTCACAGCTTTGGGGGGTGGGGGTTGTTCCTCTAAACCCTAAACCCTAAACCCTAAACCCCAAACCCTAAACCCTAAACCCTACAAGAGTACCGTGTAGAGAGCCCCTAAACCCCAAACCCGAACCCTAGAAGGATCTCCTCTTCCTCGCCTGTCTGGGGCGCAGAGGCTCGACTGAGGTCTCGGCGAAGAATCTCCCGAAGACCGCCTCGGGAAGGGAGGTGGGCTTATTGGTTTCTAAGACGGGTTAGAACACAAAAAACAGCATCATCGAATCATCTAATAGTACGACCACATAAGAAAATCACAGTCAATGGCACATAGTCCTATGAAAATATTATATTGTACAAAACCAGAGATTACTATGGCAGTTTTCACATAGGCTATAGCATTTTCATGATACAGTTGATGATATTTTCACATGTATGTAGACCCATAAACTCATCTAGCAATAAAAGGCAGAATATGATGGGCGTTTGGGGCTATTCGGTTGGCATTCTTGTGGGCTATCCAGGTGTCAAATACAGATACGACCTCGACTCACCACATTGCTGCGCTGAACGAGACCTGCAGCGACACGAAAAAGCGAGCCTTGTCATCCGGAAGAACGAGCTTGTCGACGATAGTCACAACCTACACAGGACAGGTCTACCGGTAGCAAGCTTGGGATGTACTATGTAAAACATAAGCAAAACAACTGAAAGTGTACACTGCATAAACAACTGAATCAACAAAAGGGAAATACGCTTAAACTTCAAAAAACCGTGCGCCGGGGAGCGTAGTAGATGATGGCCAGGAAGAACACGGACAGCGGGAGGCAGATCCTTGCGTCTTGAGGCCGCCAACGCTCTCTTGCCAAAACTGGTCTGCGTTGGCACCCGAAACCCTTAGCTTCTTGGTACTTATTAACCAATTTTAACTGTACTTATAGCCCACTGATAAGCCCCTTAAGTGCCCTAATATGTTTTGGCATATGATAATTTCGATCAACCCCGGATCAACCCGTAGGATATTCCCGGGTCGGGGTTGGGCATGGGCATGAGCCATGAACCGCCATGTCGGCATTCAGTTCGGGTTTAGGGTTTAGGGATTAGGGGCTTAGGGGCTGAGGTTTATTAGGTTTAGGGGTCAGGGTGTAATGTGTTACTTTCAAAGGCGAAAGGCAGAAGTGCCACATCCTTCTCGAAGTAGATCCAGGTGCCCTTGGCGGGTTTGCTTCGTTGTCCAATACCCTTGGGTAACTACAGTAAAGGTAACCTTTGGCATTGTAATTTCAGGATCCCTTTCGCCTAAGCCCTAAACCCGAAAGCCTAAAGCCTAAACCCTGATCAAATCCTGAACTCTTATCCCTTTCTGTCTTTGCTACCTGTCTGAAGGAACCCAAACCCAGCAAGGGCAGAAATGGCGCCTCTGGGCTACTAAGACTCAACACTTTCTTGCAAACGCTAAACCCTAAACCCTAGAACTTTAGCATTTTTTCAAAAACAGCAGGAATCACTGCTGCAGAGGCATGCCGGCAATCACACGTTGAGGTACAGCCTCAACCCCCCAAATGAGAGACACCGCCTTGAATCCGCTCAAGCGGTCAAGGGTCAATATGGTTTCGGGTTTCGGGTTTAGCCTGAACCTGAACCCCAAGCAAATTCAGACTCAAAGCAGGACCAGGGGCGAAGATGTGTGACATCAGGTAGCCCAGGATGCCGAGCAGGAACCTTTGCCAGTCGGACAATGGACTAAGAGAAAGCACCTACACAATCCCTGCTGCCAAGTCCTAAACCCTAAACCCTAGACCCTGCAGGACCTTCTTCAACGGACGACGAAACTCAGGGTTCAGGGTTTAGCGTTTAGGGCAGAGGCTTCAGGGTTTGGGTTCAGGGTACGTAGAGGATCAAGGATCTTGGCAATGAGGTCATACAATTTGGTCGTTGTTCGAAAAGCCGAACTTAGCACTTATAACCCCTGATCCAAGATCCCGGAGCCTTCCCTAGACCCCAAACTCTAAACCCTTAAACCCCAAACTCCAAAAACCCTAAAACCCCAACAGCAAATTTACTGTGTCTTTGTGAGCTCTGCTGAGTTTGTTTGGGGGAGCTTAGGACTTTT